CCAGCACTCAATTGAGGAGATTACAATGAAGCAGAAATTTGGGAAAGCAACCCCTTAAAGTTGTTTATGAACTCTTGGGTTTACCCCTGAGCTGTACATGTATGAATCTGACTCTAAACAGATCCCAGAGGCTTTGAGTAGTGAAATATGGGACAGACTACTGCCCAGGTCTCAGACTGTCCACTAGGTGGTACACATATGAGACACATCCAAATAGAGTTGACCTTGGAACCACAATGCCCAGAAGTCTTGGGGAACCTGGAACTTCTGGTCTGAAACCAACTGGGGCAATTGCCTTCTAAAACAAAAATAACATGTGCCATAATTTTAAACAACAACTATAGTCTCAAAACATAATATCCAAAATGTTTAGAAATACAATCCAAATTTACTCAGCATACAAAAAACCAAACAACTCCCACCACGCCCAAACCAGACATGTCAATAGCAGTACTGAAATGAAATTGATATTGGAATTATCTGACAAAGGCTTCAGAGCAGTTATTATAAATATTTTACAACAGAAGAGGACACTCTTGAAAAATAGAGAGCCTCAGCAAAGAAACAGAAAAAAATAAAGAAGAATCAAGTGGAAATGTTAGAAATAAAAAAAAAAAATCAACAACCAAAATAAAAAACTCACTGGATGGGTTCAGTAACAAAATAGAGCTGACAGAGGAAATAGTAAATTTATAAATAGATCAATAGAAATGATCTAATTGGAACAACAGATGATAAAAGACTGAGAAGGTGAACAACTGTAATGATCATGGGGCAGTTGGTTAAGCATCCGACTCTTGGTTTTAGCTCAGGTTATAATCTCAGGGTTGTGAGACTGAGACCCAATTCGGGCTCGGCACTCTGTGAAGTCTGCTTTTTTCTCTCCCTCTGCCCCTCCTTCTTCTCTCTCTCTCAAGTAAATAAATCTTTTTTTTTTTTTTAAGAATTGTAGTGATCTGAGGACAATAATAAATTCTAAGACTCCTATCATCTGAGTCCCAGAAGAGAAAAATGTGCAGTAAAAAAATCTTTAAATAATGGCTGACAGCCTGGTTTATTATTAGAAAGCAATCAATATAATCTGTTTTACTAGCAGTTTAAAGAAGGAAAAAAACCCCAATTAATCATATCAATTGACATGGAAAATGCATTTGAAAAACTTAACACGTATTCATGATAAATCTCTCAACAAAATAGGAAAGGACTTTCCTCCACCTTATAAAGAACATCTACAAAAACCTCCAGCTAGGGCGCCTGGGTGGCTCAGTTGGTTAAGCGACTGCCTTCGGCTCAGGTCATGATCCCGGGGTCCTGGGATGGAACCCCACATCGGGCTTCCCTCGCTCTTCGGGGAGCCTGCTTCTCCCTCTCCCTCTCCCTCTGCCTGCCACTCTCCCTGCTTGTGCTCTCTCTCTGTCAGATAAATAAATAAAATCTAAAAAATAAAAAACCCTACAGCTTTTCTACATAATGGTGAAAGACTACTGGGGGGACTGCTTCCATCCTAAGATCAAGAACAAAGCAAGGATGCTTTCTTTCACCACTACCATTTACCTACTTCCTGGAAGTCCTAGCCAGTGCAATAAGTCAAGAAAAATAAATACAAGGCATATACGTTGGAGTAAGAAATAAAACTATCTCTATTCAGAGACAACATGACCGTCTATGTAGAAAATCCAAAGGAACACACACACACACACACACACACACACACACGTGTGTGTGCACACACATGCATGAGGGTGTATACATACACATATACCTTAGGACAAATAATTGAGTTTAGCAAGATTGTAGGATAGAAGGGCAACACACAAAAATCGGTTATATTTCTCTATACTAATAATGAACAATTAGAAACTGAAATTAAAAAAAAAACCTGATACCATTTACAATAGCTCAAAAAACCCCTATATATAAATCTAACAAACATGTATAGGATCTATATGCTAAAAACTACAAAATGCTGATAAAATAATTCAGAGACATCCTACATGAAGTCAGTGGCTACACTGACTTTATTGAATGTAAGACAAAACATAGGATTGATTTACAGATTTAACATAATTCCAATCAAAATCCCAGCAGGAAATTTTAGAGAGAGACATAAGTTGATCCTCAAATTTGTATGGAAAGGCAAAGGAAGAGAATAGTTGAAACACTTTTGAAAAAGAAAAATAAGGCTAGAAGAATCATGCTGACTTTGACTCACCACGAAGCCATACTAATCAAGATGGAGAAGTACTGGCAAAGGAAGAGACATATTGATCAATGGAACAGAATCAGCATTAAGAATTAGCTTCCCACAGATCCGTTTAGTTGGTTTTTGACAAATGTGCAAAGGCAATTCAACAGAGGAAGGATAATCTTTTCAGCAAAATGGTGTTGAAACAATTTGAGCCCCGTATGTATACAAATGAACTCTGGCCCAGATATTCTAAAAAAATCCACTCAAAATGAGTCAGAGATTTAAAGAGAAAACCTTTAAGAGACCACTTCAGAGAAAATCTTCACGACCCAGGGTCATGCAAAGGTTCTTAAACATGTCACCCGAAATATGATCCATACAAGAAAAAATGATGAATTGGACTTCACCAAGATTAAAAACTTTTGCTCTGCAAAGGGTACCGGCAAGAGGATAAGAAGTGAAGACACAGACTGGAGGAGAATATTTGCAGATCCCATCTCTGACAAACGATTTATCCTCAGAATATATAAAGAACTCTCAAAATTCTACTACAAGAAGTCAAATGACTCCATTTAGAAATAGGCAGAAGAACTGAATGAACATCTCACCAAAGGGAAGATACATATGGAGAATAATAACAAAACATTTAACATCATTAGTCAGTGGGGAGATGAAAACCAAGGCGATGGAGAAATACCATTCCACACCTAGGATAATGGAGAAAATAATAAAAAAGAAAAGAAATACCAAGCACCAATGGGGACGTGGAGCAGCCGGAACTCTCCTACATTGCTGGGGAAATGCAAAATGGTTCAGCACTCTGGAAAAGAGTTCGGCAGTTTCTTGTAAAGTGAAACATACAGTTACCATATAAGCCAGCAAATCCCACTCCTGTGTGTGCACCGTGGAAAAATTTAAATGATGTTCACAGATGCCCCGGTTGTCAAATACACATTTGAGAGCAGCTCTAGTCATAACTGCCCCAAATCAGAGGCAACTGAAACTCCCTTTGCACAGGTAACTGGATAAACAAACTGTGGTCCATCTCTAGGATGGGTAGCACTTAGCAATAAAAAGGAACAAACTGTTGACATGCACAACTTGCATGAATCTCAAAATAGTGATGCTGAGTGAACAGAAGCCAGTTTCAAAAGGTTAGGTTCTGCATGACTCCATTTATATGGCATTCTTGGAAGAGACAGAGCGAATATGACAGGAGCCAGAGCAGTGGCTGCCAGTGGACAGGGTGGGAGAGGGCATGACGATCAAACACAGCAGGGGGGCAAGGGGGGGTGGGGGCCGAGGTGGTTCTGTGTCTGAGAGTGTTAGTAATAACATAAATCTATGCATCATTCTTAGAACTATACCCCAAAAGGTCAATTTTTTGGTATTTTCATTTAAAAAATAAAATTAAGGAAGAAAAGGGCTGACACCTCTCATTTCCTGCTTAAGGCTATCCAGATAATTCAGAGCAAGTCAGTGCCACTGCCGTGACAAACAGGATCTTCGTCGACTGCTTTCGGAGTCTCTGCTACCCGTGGGTCATCCAGCAAGCATTTGGCATCATGGCTTCGAATGTGCACAATCACCCTGGAAGGTGGGTTAGGGTTAGGATTGATATACAGGAAAAATTGAGGTTAAGGGAAGAAAGTAATCTGCCCTCTGTGATGCAGAGCCAGTAAGTGGCTGGGTCTGGGTTTGGCCCCAGCTCTTGCTGCCAACCTTACTCTGCACCTGCCTCTCTGCACGGCTGCTCACTTCAGGGAGGAGAAGCAGTGGGACTGCCAGGGAGGGGATCAACAACTGGCATTGCGGTGGGGGGGTGAGAATCGCACTTCGATTTATGTGCATCACAAACATTCGCTACGCATTTTTATTCTGAACCCTGAGTTTGTTTGAAATTCTGGGAGCTTCAGGGAAAGTTAAAATTGACACTGTTGTTGCTGCCGTACTGGCATTTTCTCAGAGACCTTGAAGAGGTAGTTCTTAGTTTTCCATGGGATTTGAATAGTTACCTCCACCATCATACAAATGTGTAGTAATCCATAGTACTTCCTAAGTGAACTAAGGGATAATTGTGACTTAGAATAACTTAAGCAAGTATTAGCTAATTCCATAAACAGCAGTTTATACATTTGAAGCCAAGAGAAATCATTTACAAATTCTCTGGCACATTTGTTCGTTCTGAGAAGTTATGACAGGCTCTTCCCACCTCTCTTCTTTACCCCACCACACACAAGTACACAAAAAGATTTTAAAAATACACAAAGTAAGTCCACTTTAGAGCCTGAGACAGAAATTGCACATTTTCCACATAACAAATGATATCTACACTTAAGGTTTAAGGAGGAATTCAGCCTTCTTGAGTATGAATTGTTACCATCTATTTACTGGCTACTACGTGGTTTTTCTTCGCCTAAAGTATTTTTGTCTCAGCCACAATAGAGATAAGAAATGTTCAGTTCTCCAACAAAAGTGTTCTGTTCAATGTTCTACTATTTTTGCTGTTATATATTTCCTTTAAAAAAGTAATTTCTGATAAATTTTGACTGTCTTTAAGCTTTAATGCAAAGCAAAGCTGAGCTAATAATGCCTTCTGCAGTTTTACTGTAGAGAGCTGAGTAATTGATTCCGTACTCAAATAAAGCCAAGAATAACACAAATTATTTCATCATCAACACCTTTTTTTTTTTTTTTAACTCTTAATGAGCCTAGTCCCACCACCATCAGGTAACAAAAATCTTATCTTTTTTCACCGGTTAGAGGTTGTTCTGCCCAGGAGAGTGGCATGGGGATGACAAGGCCCACTTACCTTCCAGCAGGTCTCTGGCCAGACCAGGTTCTGCCCCCGTGGACCGAACAAAGTCTGACAGGACTGCGTCCATATCAAGAGTCATAGGATCATGTAGAAGGGCTGCCCAACACTCAGCCGAGGTGGGGTTTGGAAGCAGGCTAGAAACCATCCATCTGCAAGAAAGGAGAGAGGAGCCACAGTGCTGTAAGAGGGGAGGTAAGTGGCAAAAGTGCACGCGAGTGAGCACGCACGCAGAGAATGGAGAGCCGAAACCATTTCTGCCCGTGTGGGACAGCGGCCCCATTCTTCAGGTAAGACACTGAATAAAAATCAAACCCAAGCGTCATCCCTCTGAGCATGCCATATGAGCCTGGGGGGCAGAACCAACTCCAGTGCTTCTGACCTTACATTTTGTCCATTCCAATGACAGCTGACTGAGAAGAAGACAGACCAGCAATTGCAGTACTAGATATTTGTCCAAAGGATACAAACATAGTGATCAAAGGGGCACCTGCATCCCAATGTTTATAGCAGCAATGTCCACAATAGCCAACCTATGGAAAGAGCCTAGATGTCCCTTGACAGATGAATGGAGAAAGAAGACGTGGTATATATAGACAATGGAATATTACTCAGCCATCAAAAAGAATGAAATCTTGCCATTTGCAATGATGTGGATGGAACTATTATGCTAAGTGAAATAAGTCAGTCAGAGAAAGACAAATACCATATGATTTCACTCACATGTGGAATTTAAGAAACAAAGCAGATGAACATAGGGGAAGGAAGGAAAAATAAAATAAGATGAAGTCAGAGAGGCAGACAACAAACCATGAGAGACTCTTAACTATAGGGAACAAATTGAGGGTTGCTAGAGGGGAGGGGGTGGGGGAGATGGGGTAACTGGGTGATGGGCATTAAGGAGGGCACTTGATGCAATGAGCAATGGGTATTGTATGCAACTGATGAATCACTGGATCCTACCTCTGAAACTAATAATATAGTACATGTTAATTAAATTGAATTTAAATAAAAAATTTTAAAAAAAGACTAGATTGTTTAAAAAAAATCAAACACCCACGTACACATTGATTAATTTGGGGTTACTAGATTTCCAGTCCTCTTCCAAGTTAACCAAGCACGCAGCACTACCACAATGTAACTGTGTTGCCCACTACATCCCAATTACGGCTTCATCAGTGAGCCAACCCACTCCCTCGGCTCTCATCCTCCTCTTGCTCTTAGGAAAGAGTCCATGCAATCCAGAGCTGACCGAAGTACCAAATCTGCTGAAATGACTGCTGAGCTATCTGTCATCTCTCCAAGAATCGTCATAGTCACAGGAACAGTCTGACAAAATTCATAAGGATGCGAGATTTCCCAGGCGGAATGATCCCGGTTAGAACCATACAAGAGGTATCCTGCAGCTTGACCACAGAATGCACCCGCCAATTTTGCTGGAAGAAAGCAACCGGCACCTGGCCTGGGAGGCTCACACCAGGGAACCAGTGCTGGGCCAGTGGTGGATACCTGGTCATGGCTGATAAATTGGAAATGCATCCCTGGGTTCGCATACGTAAGGGGTGGGAAAACGATGGCCCATGGGCCAGGTGGGAGCTGCCATCTGTATTTGTACATAAAGTGGTACTGGAACATAGTCACATCCATTCAGTCACATGCTGTCTCTGGTTGCTCTTCATGTGGCTGAGTTGAGCAGTTAAAACAGAGACTATAAGGCCCACAAAACTAAAAACATGTATGAGCTGGACCATAGATTTTATACTGATATAAAAGCCCATGGCAAATGTTATACTGGTATAAAGTAAGCATCTAATTAAGTATGTAATTAATTTTACCTGATGTGGGGTGGATTTAAGTCCCATGCTATTGATGAGTGTCCTTGTTCCTTCTTCCCAGATAACCACTCAGATGCTTTGCTCTGGGGACCAGATTCTCTGACAGATGCTGCTACTTCAGAGCCAGGCTCGCTGGCCTAATCTGACCCGCCACTCTGACCAGCTGTGACATGCTGCCTACCCCCTCTGAGCCCCTCTGTGCATTTGTAAGACTGGTGGAAATAAGCTTATCTAAGGTTCCAGACCATGGGGAGGGTGCATCAGGCAGGGAGGTGTGTAACCTCAGAGCTGTTCACTGTTTTTATGCCATCTTGCACGTGGCTCTTACTGTGGGTGAAATTTTTGGTTGGTGTTGCTAGAAAGTAAGAAAATTATTTGACCTGATGTATATGGTACCAATTAGGAGATTGCCTTCTTCCTTCTGTCCGTGGACCAGAGCCTCGACTGGGAGGGTTCTTCTTTGGTCACTCTTCTCCCTGGGGGACAAATCAGAGAATGAGAGCATGTTATTCTCATTTGCAGGCAGAAGCTGAAGGCTTTGCTTCTTGTCACATGAGGCTGCATCTGAGGCCAACTGTTTGTGGCGTGCCGTTGCCCTCCTGGGCCTGAAAGGCACCTTCGGACTGGCCAACTATCGGCTCCTGTGTCCAGGGGGCTTCTGCAAGGGAGGGGGGGTCTCAGCTTTCCTCATTTTAGCAAGTATCTATATTTCAATGAATATCCTGTCCACAATACAGAGCTGTTTTATTTTTTTTAAATATTTGTTTATTTTAGAGAGAGAGAGAGAGAGAGCAAGAGCATGGGGGGCGAGGGACAGAGGGAGGAGAGAATCTCAAGCAGACTACCTGCTGAGCACAGAGTCCGATGCAGGGCTCGATCTCCTGAGAGATTGAATCAGACGCTTAACCGACTGAGCCACCAAGGTGCCCCTACAGAGCTGTTTTAAATCTTACTACGAACACCATAATAATACACTGAACCTTAGCTGTTTTTTTTTTTAATTGTGAAAACATACTCATAACATGAAATTTACCACCTTAACCTTTTTGAAGTGTACAGGTCAGTGGCATTAACATTCACACTGTCGTGCAAACATCCCCACCATTATCTCCAGAACTGTTTCATCTTGCCCCACTGAAGTTCTGATCCCATTAAACACTCACGTCCATTTCTCCCCCAACCCCAGCATCTGGCCACCACCGTCTGACTTTGTTTCTGAATTTGACCATTCTAAGTGTGTTGTATAAGCAAATCATGTGGTATTTGTCCTTTCGTGACTGGTTTATTCTGCTCGAGCATAACGGCTTCAAGGTTCATCTGTGTTGTAGCAGGTGTCAGAATTTCTTTCCTTTTTAAGGTTTGTCTTGGTCCATGAGTGCTGCTGTAACACAATACCACAGACTGGGCCGCTTAAACCACAGACATTGATTTCTCACCATCTGGAGGCTGAGAAATCCGAAATCAAGGTGTCGGCAGAGCTGGTGTCTGCCGACTTCCTGGCTTGTAGATCGCTACCTCGTTGCTGTGTTCTCATGTGACTGAGAGAATGAGCTCTAGTCTCTTTTTCCTTCTCAGAAGGACACTAATCCCATCATGGGGGCTCCATCCTCATGACCTCATCTAGACCTAATTACCTCCTGAAGGCCCCACCCCCTAATATACAACATTGAGGGTTGGGGCCTTAACATCTGAATTTTGGGGGGACGCCCAGAGGCAGTCCACAACAAGGCTGAGTAATAGCCCATTGCACGGATATACCACATTTTGTTCATCCATTCATCTGTAGCTGGATGCTTGTGTTGTTTCCACCTTTTGCTTATTGGGAGTAACTGAGTCTAAATCACTTTTCCACTTTTACAGGTAGGTCACCATGCTGTGACCACGACAAGCTTTCACCAGTGTTAGAGTACAGGTTTATGCCCACACCACCTCCTCTGTACCTTGTCCTCCATGCAGAGATCAAAGAATGGGTTTAAAATACATTTTTTTTGCCACATTCAAATATAAACATTTGCACGGCAAGATGTTACTCTGCCTATCCCCTTGAAGACTTTTTTTTTATTATTATGTTACGTTAATCACCATACATTACATCATTAGTTTTTGATGTAGTGTTCCATGATTCATTATTTGCGTATAACACCCAGTGCTCCATGCAGAACGTGCCCTCCCTAATACCCATCACCAGGCCAACCCATCCTCCCACCCCCCTCCCCTCTAGAACCCTCAGCTTGTTTTTCAGAGTCCATCATCTCTCATGGTTCATCTCCCCCTCCGATTCCCCCCCTTTATTCTTCCCCTCCTGCTATCTTCTTCTTCTTCTTCTTCTTTTTAACATAAAATGTATTATTTGTTTCAGAAGTACAGATCTGTGATTCAACAGTCTTGCACTATTTACAGTGCTCACCATAGCACATACCCTCTCCAATGTCCATCACCCAGCCACCCCATCTCTCCCACCCCCCACCACTCCAGGAACCCTCAGTTTGTTTCCTGAGATTAAGAATTCCTCATATCAGTGAGGTCATATGATACATGTCTTTCTCTGATTGACTTATTTCACTCAGCATAACACCCTCCAGTTCCCTCCACATCGTTGCAAATGGCAAGATCTCATTCCTTTTGATGGCTGCATAATATTGCTTTGTATATATATACACCACTTCTTCTTTATCCATTCATCTGCCGATGGATATCTTGGCTCTTTCCACAGTTTGGCTATTGTGGACATTGCTGCTATAAACATTGGGGTGCATGTACCCCTTCGGATCCCTACATTTGTATCTTTGGGGTAAATACCCAGTAGTGCAATTGCTGGATCATATGGTAGCTCTATTTTCAACTTTTTGAGGAACCTCCATACTGTTTTCCAGAGTGGCTGCACCAGCTTGCATTCCCACCAGCAGTGTAGGAGGGTTCCCCTTTCTCTACATCCCCGCCAACATCTGTCATTTCCTGACTTGTTAATTTTAGCCATTCTGACTGGTGTGAGGTGATATCTCATTGAGGTTTTGATTTGGATTTTCCTGATGCCGAGTGATGTTGAGCACTTTTTCATGTGTCTGTTGGCCATTTGGATGTCTTCTTTGGAAAAATGTCTGTTCATGTCTTCTGCCCATTTCTTGATTGGATCATTTGTTCTTTGGGTGTTGAGTTTAAGAAGTTCTTTTTTTTTTTTTAAGATTTTATTTACTTATTTGACAGAGAGAGAGATAGCGAGAGCAGGAACACAAGCAGGAGGAGTGGGAGAGAGAGGAGCAGGCTCCCCGTGGAGCAGGGAGCCCGATGCGGGGCTCGATCCCAGGACCCTGGG